CTCTTTCCTGCCTATGCAGGGGGTCGGACTCGATGATCTATTGAGGTCCCTTCCAACCCTAGCATCTATGAATCTATGTATCCATGTTCTCCTGCTGCCAGACGTACATGTGGGATACTAAGCTAGTTAATAATCTATTTATAAATTTAAAAAAAGCAATCAAGATTTATTTTGCACTGAACTCATTGGCTTCTTTAGATACAAGATATTCTCTCCATCTCCAGGGACTCTCCTGAAAATGAGAGGTTACCCCCAGCAAGGGAGAAATGTAAAATAAATACTGTTATAAATAAAACATCTTCCAGTATGTAAGGCAGTGCTATCAAGTTACCGTATACTTAATATATCTATAGAAAGACCCATAGTGTAACAGCATAAGCTTTAATCTGCAAAAAAAATTAACATATGTAGTAATAGTCCCTTAAAACCTCTAGACAATAATGAAGCTATCTCCTTACACTTCCAAAAACATCCAATAGCGAACTGGTTTTCAAGCAGCATGCAGCAATATGAAATAAGGAGTTGTCAATATTAGTTACCAAGAGAAAGACCCTCACTCTCCAACTCTCCCCTGTAAATCATGTTCACTTACCTGTGTAAATAAACCTGCCCGGAGCTCCTTTGCAAAACTGTTTTGATTTATATGATAGTGTAACTTCGACTACGCCAGGGATGTGACGAGGGGGGGTCTGGACTCGAATGGCATGAGGTGTGATCAACTGGGAAACAGCAGAAAGGGTAAAGCAGTTATGGGAAGATGTAGATATTTTCCCTCCCTCCCCATCCATCCACTCCCAAGTTGTGTTTCGTAGGCAAACATACTTCACTAACTACTTCATAGGACTTGCCCAATTCCATTGCCCCAGTAGTACATGTGGTGCAGTATCTTGTCTTCAACAGCTATGCAAAGTGTTTCAGACAAGGGTGTGAGAATTTCTCCCTCCCTGCCTCGCATAAGGAAACTACTAGGTAAATTGCCATCAGGGAAAATCTCTTCCGTACCCCAACCCCAGTTAGCTAGCTGTGGGTTTATCTCCTGAAGCCTGAAGTTTCGTTTCTCTTACAAAATTCTTGGATTTTAGTTTTGGTTTCAGTCCTGAACTGTTAAATCCCTTTTTTTAAAAAATCCTATTACACCATTGGCCCAGATGATAAAAGTACGGCTGTGAGTTTCATGGACTGTGTGTTGGGTGAAAAAGTGTTTCCTGTAAGCAGTTTTCTAGTAGATTTTCTTGTATTCTTATAAAAAATGGACCATTACACGTCCCCCCATGTTCCTTCTCTCTGTTAGCAATGTGAGGAGATACAGATTCTGAATCTGCTTAGCAATAGGAGGTAACATTTGCCTACCTCACTCCATACAAGCATGGTCCCAAATACAACTTGCAGCCCATCGAAAAAGTTGTCTCCTATGATGATTACCATGGCTCCCCCTGTAGTCCAGCCTTCACTTGGGCTAATAGCTTTGATGCATGGGGTGGCTAAATGAAAAACAACAGTAGTGGCAGGTTACGTTTTCTACAACTTGTTTCAAGGCTGGTTACAACTGATGTACAGCTGATGTAACCTACTGGAACAGATAACCACACAGCAGCTACTTGTGCTCCTCTCAAGCTAGGACCAGCTGCCCTGATACAAATCAGAGCTTAGAGCAGCTGGGCCTCCCTATTTAAAGAGGTTCTGCACTGCACTGCTGCACAGAGGTTCAGCTTTATAGAGGTTCAGCTGCACTGCTGCACAGATTCCCACTGCTGTTGAGGCCTAGAACAAGAACCTTCAATTTGTTCACCCTTAAAGGCTGATTATCCTTCCAAGGAATCAAAAATAAATACAGAATACATACATATATACATACATACAATGTGTTCTCTGTTTGCTGGTGTTAATTACTTTCCTACTCATTACTGGCATTTAGCATTTTGCCATTAAACCTAATAAGCCAACTGTAGTGCGTGTAAAAATGAACACTTAAATGACTGTGTTGAGGCTGCTGTAGAAATATTATTATCATACAATCACGGGAGCAAAAAAATGAAAACATGCAGAAGGAAGGATGTGTTAAAATGCACTGTGTTTACCCATGGGTTAAAGAGATGGAAATATCTCATGCTTCCTCCAATTCCTATAAAAACCAGTATCTAATCATTTTCTTGACTTTATGGAATAGGTTTTTTATCCTCTCTTCCATATGTTTAAGGCCCCTGGACTATACATCCCATCAGGAACCCAATATGGTTTCCAGGCCATAACCAAAGTCAATCCATCACTCCATTCCCAATGTTGACAGGGTCAGAGGTGAAGGGGAACTTTGGCAGGGCTCCAAAAACATGAGACTCCTTTGAACAGCCAGTCAATCACATCCAATCAGTCAAGGAAAAACTGGATGGCTTCCTAGGCTTGGAATCCTGGGAGTTTCCTTCTACCATTTCACTGCCCGCTGGGGGAGAATTAACACCGCTCCAAATTCTTTACTGATTCAATCATTTTCTTCCAGTTCATTAATTCTTCTTTAGGTTGATACAGGGCACATTTAAGAAGCAGGGCAACAAAACATTATAATGAAATAATAACCTTGCTTGTCTCTTCTACTAACATCATAAGCTCTTCTCACTTTCACTAGCTGCAGGGGAAGTGGGAGGTAGACAGAGATAGGATTGCTTTTTTAAGTGGTGCCTGTATGAAAAAAGGTGGAGCGTGTGGACGGGATTGAGTTGGAGAGAGAAGGGGTTGTCCCAGTTTGAAGCTTAACAGATACTGAAATTTCTGATGGCTTTATTCTACCCCAAGAACCGTGGTGTAGAGTATAGACAACTGTATGATTCTTACTTGGCCACACAAACTGAAGTCTGTTAGTGTTGGTTTCCTTCTGTGAACTGTTATGCTTTGCACACGGTTTGTTTAAGGAAACCGGTGACACCCTTTCATACATATCTCGTAAGGTTTTTGTTAAACTAAGATATCATGTTGCTTAATTTGCTTTGGAATCAAAATAGCCCAGCTGAGCATTAAGTCTGAAATTCACGTAACATTTAAACATCTTTACACTGTTCTCATCTTTACAGGACAGGCTAAGTAGTTAATGGGCTGGAGAGTCAATCTCTTAGATATAAGAAGGGCCACATTTTGCACTTTTCCCCACTCTTCTGTCCAGAAAACCCTAAGGGGGTAGTTCCTTGTCCCACCCTCAAAACAGAAACTCAAATGCGGAGAATGTTTTCCAGGCTTCAAAGTCCTGTACCTTCTGAGGGGTCAAGTCTCCTCGCCCTCCGCCCATGCTTGGAGTTGTTATGAACAAACATGTTGTCAGATACCGCCAATACATGTCCATCAACGTTCACAGTTGTTGATAACACAACCTGGATAATTCAAGGAGAGAGAAAAAAAGGCAGGTAAACTAGTCCTTTTGTGTATTTATGCTTGTAATGTATTCAGTACTCAACAGAGTTAAAAACCTATTCTGTTTGTTAAATATAATCATCTCTTGCAGGGTATATTCCCTAACAAAGGGGAGAAAAGTATTTTCAGCTTCTATTGAATTCCATTTAACATGGTTCAGATAACACCTTCAGCATGCATAGTATGATGAAACAGCAACTGCAGATGGTCCTATGTTTGGTTTCTTGTGATGTCCTGTAGCTACAAGACCAGAGGAGTGATGCTGTGCTGGATCAGGCCCATGGATGCCTTCCTCCCCACATGCTGCACAGGTCCCAGACCAACCAGAGTAGGCAGTACATGTAGCTTGTGTCCCAGAGCAGTTGGGGCAGGCACCACAGGTGGCTTTTGTCCTGGCCCCTGCATGCAGGACCGGTATGATGCACATCAGGTGTGGCATGTGGGTCAACTCAAGACCTGAGGGTAACACCTGGGACTAGATAATGGAACTATGCAGGCTATATCTTTGACACCCCTGGCATAGCTGAGAGAGAAGAGGTAATGTGCTCTCTGCTCTGTACAGGCCCTTTTAATGTGTCCCAACCTAAACACTCAAAATCACTAGTTATTTTTTTAAATCTTGTCCTTTATGCCCAACCTGGCTGCCTTCTAACGAAGCACAGGTAAACACCTACTGGACAGATTATTTGTTATTCATTTTCATTCTATGCACTCTGAGACGTGTCCTTAAACCCATCAGAAGAAATGCCTAGCTATCATAACTATCATAAAGAATATGCATCTTTTTCGAGCCTTATTAGATCTTCAACTCATGGAAGTCCGTGTAGCTCCACTGACTTCATAACAGCTACTTCATTTCACAGATGTAGATGTAACCCCGCGTGTGTATATGCACTTTAAAGATGTACTTATGCAATTGGTAAAAGAATAACAGGCTTTAATTGTTGATAAACAGTACTCAGCACACAGTAGGAAAAACCTGGCCCTGCTGGAGGATTTTGCTGATTTAAAGAAAGTGCGCGTGCTCTCACTCTTTCTTTCTTAAAGACAAGTTTAATTCATTCCAAAAGGCTCTTGTCATACTGTACATTAATATTTCTCATGCATTCCTGTCACAAAATGTGTTGCTTTTGTGTGCCAACTGATTTCATCATTGCACATTTGGGTGGAGCAAGACTCTGTTCCAAAGTGAACATTTCCCACATGACATAGCTGAATCCACTCAGATGCACTTCATTATTTTCTGTTAAACAATGGAAATAAATTTTAGTCTCTAGCTGGCCATGCAGACCATAGTGTGGTAACAAGGGAATAAACCTGAATTATGCCAGTGCCTGAAATATTTATGACAAGATTTTAAATTGCAAACAAATGTAAATCAAAAAGGATAGTGTGTGTGTATACACACATACACACACACACACACACACACACACAATTACATTTATATACAACGATATAATATGCAAAAACCCAACCACGTACCCAGTATGTATATATAATATAACACTGATCTATCCCAATTATACATAATATATTTCAATATACATGAGCACACTGTATACAAGTTACATGTGCGTGCAAGTATGTAAGTGTTACATAAGATACTTTTTCCAATGTTAATGTTCTAAAGCTCCCTGCAGTGCAAGTGGTGACTTCCAGGAGAGCCTTCAGTCTTGCCAGGTACTGAGCACAGTGGGCAGGAATTGCTCATATCCAAGAGTGGTTCCACTGTGGCATCTCTCAAGATCATCACTGGGAAGTGAAGGTAATGGCACCTCACAGGCTGGGGCCAAAAGAACACAAATGAAACCATTCTTAGAGGTAGTCCCACAGTGCAGAATTTGGTCTGGAACTTTTTCCCAAAGCTTTCAACCGTGCTTTGTCCTGACATTTTGTTCAAGCCCTCCTTAGGCATTACCAAAATTCTGGAAAAGAGATCTTTGTCCTTCTCCTTTTATCTAGGCTAAACAGTACGGACACCTTAGATTATGGATACAAGGTTACTAGAGATCTAGACTGAGTTCCATTTTGTCCCTTCATCTGGTGAAGATAAACAATGAAATTGTTTAATACTGAAGATTAAAACCCAGTGTTTTAAGAAGAAAAGGAAGAGGAATGTGCATTCCACCATAGTCTCTAACTCCCAGGCCCTCCCCTTTCACAAGCCAACTACTTTCCCCCTGTGAGTATTTCCTGGGTCATGGAGGGTGACCCTTTCCATCTGGAATCAATCAGTCAACTCCTGACAACTTCCTGAAACACCTCACTCCATTTCCTGTTCTCTCCCCCTTCTCTCTTTCCCCCTGGTTTGCTTCACTCTTCAAAACTGCAGGCCACAGCAGCTTAATGTTAGAGGGTCAGACACAGTTAGACTCCAAAACACTACACAAGAACACCTTTGACCTTCAAAAATCTTTACATCTTAGCTAAACAAATCAAGGTCAACATTTCTTACCATTACCTTATTAACCATTTATATGTATTTTCACCAATGTCTTCTGAAGGCATATCCATCAGTATCACTCGTCATTCTAAGATCATAACACACACTGAGATTTTTCTTTACATGTTTTTTCTTTACATGTATTTAGGACTGGTATAACTTCCTTGTAGATGCTGATATAATTTACTTGGAGATGCAAGTCCTCAGATTTGCTACAACTCAAGCAAATTGCCCTCTGCCATGGTGTCCAATTCCTGATCTAATAGGACCACCTCTTCTGATGAGTTGATAGTTCCAACTCTATGCCCACTTGATTGATCTTCCTTTCGTTAAGATCACTGATTAGTTTCAGTGTTGTGACTGTGGTGAATTCTAGGCCCCAGGGAATGGAATAAAAACACCAATATATTTCCTACAGGCCAGTCAATACCCTTTAGTGACCACATAGCTTGTGGTCACAGCTGGTCCGGACTAGACTTGAACTAAATAGCCTAGAAAAAAAACATGTTGCTCCCCAATTGCCCGAGTTATCCAGTCCTGTGAACAATGACATTAGCAGAATATCTGAAGTCTGTAGTGGTTTGTCCAGTTGAAATAGGAAAACACCTAGGCAATATACTATTCCTTCACTGATCTGAATCTAGATTCCCACCAGAATAATGGAGACAGACGTGAAGCCTACTAAGTTGTTTTTTTGGCAGTTCCTAAGAGTCTCTTTGCTACTCTGAAGGTTTCCTCTTTTTGGCTCTGAGGTCACAGATACCAGATAATCATTCCCCTGCAATATTAGAAACCTTTACTCACTGCATCTCTGCAGCATTCTCATTTCCCAGTTGGATTATTATAATGCACTCTCTGCATGAAGACCACACTGAGGCTTCAGAGCACAGCAGTGCTACCCATCTTTATCATATTAAAAACGGGATCCATAAGCCGACCTGTTCCTTTGGCTTCCAAGCATGATCCCAAATGCCAGCTCTAATTTACAGATCTGTACCCGGGTACCTTAGAGATTACCTCTCTTGCTTCCCACTTCTGACAGCGGAGATCAGTCTAGACAGCTTTGATTAACAGCCTCAAGTTTTAAACCTTGGACTCCTGCAGCTGGACATTTGCAACTGCAAGTCTTTATTATTTCATCCCCCTTTACTGGAGGGAGCCAATTTCAATAAAGTTAGGGTGATAACAGAGAGGCGTTCTTGAGCTACATTAAAGATGTGTTGCAAAACTAGCTGGTGTTACCAAATGCCTCACAACCCTGAGAAGAATGGTACTACACATGCAAAGTACTCTTTCTTTCACATACTTGTCACATCTATACTTTCATAGTCCCAAACCCTTGCCATTCTAACTTATAACTGGACACACACATACACACATTATTGAAGTACAGGTTTTCCTCACTTTATGTGGGTTCTGTATGTGCAAATTTGCTCTTATGCAATAACCTTTTTATACCAAAACTTGGTTATATGTGAGGTAAATTCACTCTTATGCGATCAGTGTGGTGGAAGCCTGCAGTCAGCTGCTTTGTGTGGTGCATTATGGGAGTGACATGCACCAAAATATAGTCTCCTGTGTGCATCTGTGCTCCTCGCTCGTTGTCTGTGATGTGTTTCTGTAGTTGCCATCCCCATTATGACTTCTAAGCGTCCCGCTAGCTTATCTGCTACCTCTATCTCCTACTGTCTGGTGCTGATGAATACCAAAATTGTTTTGTAGAAGTGGTAGAAATGGGTCCAGGGGTCAGTACAGTCAAGGTCTTGGAACATATCCCTATTTGTTACACTGTAAAGTGGGTTCCCTTTATGCGAATACAAATTATGCACCATTTTCCAGGAATGCATGTACAGCATAAAGTGAGGGAAGCCTGTATCTCAATATATACACTCATTTCCATATGCATACTCACTCACCAAGCACACGTACAGTTACATACAACACATCTGTGTAAATCATCTCTAAAAAAAATCTCTGCTCCCATTCCAAGTGTGGAAAAAGTTCTTTATGACATCTTACATCTGGAAACAATATTGAATTCCTGATGCACTTTCCTTTACAACCATGCAGTCACAGTACCATATTATTTTAACTTTTCCAAAGAATAACTATTATGTAAATTTTTTAAATTATTATCATTTTCCAGCTGAGTGAATGAAAATATAATATGTGCCAGGCTTCATCCTGTTGTCTTCACTCTGACAAAACTCCCATTGATGTCATTGGCAGTTTTGGTTCAATGAGTAATTCAGGAGTAGACATTTAGTATTCTGTTTGCTGCATAGTTGGATTCAGGATGGGCAACACAATCTATAAAAATGCCAGCAACCTCTCTTTGCACAAAACTTCTATTGATTTCAATGAGGCGTTCCACACTTAGAGTTTGCTCCTGCAGTGAAATCCACATAGGCACAGGGGACTGTCCACATGACCTCATTTCAGGAAAGGGGCCTAAGAGGGAGGACTACATTCTCTAGCACATTAAAACATATCAGATGTATGAATTCCTAAAAT